GATCTATGAACTATAGACGTCGATGCTCGATCGTCTAATCGAGTTGTTACGAGAATACGAGAAATCGTTTCGTTCGAACTCGACGATCGGTTTATCGTTTTTTCCCTACCCTTCCAAAGGTGTATAGATATTATAAAAAACGTCGCCGCCCTCGCGTCTCCTCTCTACTCTCGGATTCAAAAATGGATAAATATTACAAGGAATGTGAGTGTAGTAGTATCAAGAATTTTCGTTCTCGAATATTTCTGAAAGACTGAAATTTGTGTCTAATCTCTCGACACCGACAGTTTTTTATTATTCACAGTATAGGAAAATCGTGGAAAAACGACGATTCGCAGGAGAATTATCCTTTTTTTTTTTTTTTTTTTTTTTTTTTTTTTTTAATTTATTCACAAAAAGACACCATCCTCTCGACAATTTTTCTTTAACGAGATCGTCGTTCTTGTCGCGAAATGATTTCACTTGTTCGTTAAAAAAAGTTATTAACAAAATCGAACTAAATCAATACATTCATCACAGTTGAATATATTTCCGTTTGATATTTAATTTAATTGATAAAATTAAATTAATCAGAATCAATGTAAATCATTTAAGTAACAAACATATACAGATCCAGGCTTGAGGTTTTTTTTTTTTTTAATAACAAGTAAAATCTCGTTGACAGTTGTAACGAGGAATATGAAATATCGAGAACGGTGTCTTTTCCCAAATATTTCGATCGTCGAGGCTCAACAAGTGTTCGCTTTTCCACCGCAAAAAAGGGGTTACTTTGTAAACGTATACAAATTTCTTCATGGGACGCTGTGTATGTCCGCGTGTACGTGTGTGTGTGTATGTGTGTGTATATGTGTATATATATATATATATATATATATATATATAACACGAGTATCAAAAATTTTGAAAACACCTCCTTCCTCTCGCGTACATCTCCCCCCCTCTATTCACGCCGGAAGACGAAAGAAGAAGAAAACAGAAACGGTAGAAAGTACTGTTACTATACACTCTCCATCTTATCCCTGTTTCCTCGCCCGCATTCGAGGCCGCGATCTCTCCACGTCCTGGAATAAGAGTAGTCGTTTTACCACCGGTCGAGGTAGAGAAAGCAGTGTCGAAAGGAGTGACGATCGGGTTAAACGGTCAAATGGAACGGAATAGAAAAGAAGAACCGTTTTGTTCCATTGGGCGAGAAAGGAAATTCTTCTTCTCTCCGAGGGAAAGAGGTTTTTCTTTCTTCTTCAAACCGGCGGAAGAGAAAACGGCGGTGTTCCGTTTTACCCGCTCGCTGGCTCGTTCGGTAACAATGGCGAGTAAAGAGTCGCGAGGACGATTCACGGATGCGAGGGGGGAAGTGTTTTTCTTGCGACAAATTGGAATTTTCCCTCGAAGATTTTCTTTTTTTTCTTTCTTTCGTTCCTTTCGCCTTAGTTTCCTTCTTTCCAAACGTTTTGCTCGACGAGTGCTTGTTTTATATACACTTTTTCTCGAAGAGAATGTGTTTCCTCGAAGAACAAAGACGCGTGCGAATGAATTTTATTTCGTGTATATATATTTACGCGGAATTTATTTAATTTATTGATATCGATTCGATGTCAGACATATCTAGAAAGACAGTTTTTATTACAAAAATTACATTGGATTCTCTGAATCGAGGCGGATACAATTTTCCAACAATTTGTATCTTGATTTTTTACAAGATTGTATCGGAGTGTGTGTCAATTGCTCGCTTCGCTTCGATATTGAGATATTTTCTTTTCTCGTCTACTCTCAAATAATTGAAAAAATAAAATCCTAAGGACACCTTCTTCTTCCCTCTAGGAAAAGACTAACTAACGTGGGTGATCGAAGTGATGTGAGAAAGATAAATTCTCGGTTGGTAAAATCGCGACGAACAATGATAAAGAGCGTTGGGAAAGAAGAAAACCGTGGGTTTCGACCGCGCAAAAAAGCAGCGAATCGTTCCGGCGAACGACTTTCGAACGGATCCTTCCACTCTTTTCCTAACCGGTGTGCGGCGCTCTTCCTTTCTCTCTTTTTCTCGCACTCTCTCCACAGCTTTCTCGACACTTTTACACCTTCATTCTCTCCCCCTCTTTCACTCTCATCCTCCTCTTCCTCCTCTTCCATTCATTCACTCTCCCCCGTAATCTCTCCGATCTATTAAAAAAAGAAAAAAAAAAATATCGGTTTAAGTAGAAAAAAGAAAGCGTTATTAAGATTGGATTAAAATCATCAAGATTAGAGACACTGACACAGCCAAATCTTTGTTTCTAAAAAAGACATCTCTTTGCTTCAATCCCCTACCCACCCTTTTAAACCCTACTTTTTTTCACCAACGAACCTTCCACGTTCACCCAACCACCCACCCTCTGTCGGTCGAACACCGAAACCAACTTGAACACTTGGTGGATATATTGCGTTTTGTGCGTGCGCCGGACGAATCCCATTGCGTGTGCGACCTCCTCGAGAGTCGAGGATCGTTCGTTCGATCCCCACCTTCCCCTGTTTTCCTTTCTTTTCTATTTCGATTCCTTTCCTGTATTAAAATTTGTCCGTAGTGATTTCTCACGGTGGCGGTGATCGAGCGAGGATATGCAAGTGGAATCGTCGGTCGCGCGATGATTCCATAAAATTCGTTCCAATTCGGGAAAGGTAAAGTGATACGCGTGGACGATCGGTGCAAACGGTTCGTCCGGGTCGTCGCACATAATCGAAACGTAACTCGTTTGGCCGACTAAGAAAGACACACAGCGTTTCCTCTCGATCGATCCTGACCGATCCACGTGCCAGCCATTCTATTTTTTTTTTTTTTAATTGCCCTATTATTTAATGAACACTGGCTCTCCACTGACTTCTCTAAGTATTTTCTATTATGTGTGTGCGCATGTGTGTGTGTGTGTGTGTGTGTGTGTGTGTGTGTGTGTGTGTGTGTGTGTGTGTGTGTT